TTTAAACGATAGATTAGGATAGGTAGACTTTCCATCCAGTAAGGAATTTCTTCTTACTTTGATTCGGATCCCCCGGAGATTGACGATAATATAAGAGATAAATGATGCAAAATGAATTGATTATATTCTTCAGTCATTTCTTTTTGGAAATTTTACGTTCATGCTTGAAAATTCCTTATAAGAAATACAAACAAATCCCAATTAACATGACTAATATTTTAAGTATGTTGGCTTGAATGAATTCCATTCATATTAGGTCAGCGTGTATAGCCTATTTGACCTCGATGAAGAATATATGATTTAATCAAAGATATGAAGACCAAGATTCTGTGGCCCTCGGTATGGTCGCAGTCTCCTTTCGATTTATAAAAGTGGGTTGACCTCATTTTCGACACTCCATCTTGCTGTCAGAAGGACTTAGTTAAACGCACCTCATCCGAAGTTATTTACAATAATAGCTATCATAATTCTCAGCATCAGACCATGGGCTCAAGCAAGGTCTCAGAATGAGAAGTGGTACATACAGACTACGATGTAGAGAGGATGGATAGGAACATGAGCAAGCAATAGCATTCGCCTTCCTTCTCTTCACTAGTTCTGAGACCACATGTTTTATGTATCATAATCAGGCATCATTTCACCCTATCTTGTAAGCATGCACAAGTCTTACTTATTAGACACAAATGGGGGCAGATTAAGTTGAGTGGACACTAATTCACGCAAACAGACTACTTGTATAGCATAGAGTATAATACCGTCAATACTCCAAATACTGCTACTAAATTGCCACTACTATCATTTCAATTCAAGCAGTCAAGAAAACATGTGTTCAGAGATGAAATACAGTTATAATAAGAGAAAAAGGAAAATACCTCTTGACGTCGGCTAGCCATGCTAAGACGCTTGGGTGGTGTTGCGTGCAATCCAGAGATTTCTTCGCTACCAAGCATGCCGCCAGGCGAATCGAAAGGTGCAGAACGCTTGCCCAGACCCTCGCGGCGGATAAGATTGCGAGCCCTTCGCACCAGTTCTGAGGGCTAAGAATAACGAGAGAAGGGGAAGTCGGATTTTAAAAAACATAGAAGAGGAAAAATTGTAAAATTAAAAGCGAGAGAAGTATTGATGAAATTAAACACAGCATAATTCATGAAAAAAGCAAGTCAGAAAGAAGCGATGCCAAATTGCTAATCGGAATAGAAAAGG